TTCTAAGTTACTAACCCACTCACTCCGTCTAACCTGGGCCAGACTACGTAAGCATCGATTGTTGAAAACCACTGGGCGACGGGTGTCTTCTACCCTCAAATTCAAGGTCTCACAACCGTAAAGTAGAACTGATCGTACGGTGGCGCCGTGTACGCGACTTTTCAACTTCGATGATTCCAAGACTAACGCTGAATCTCCATCCCTAAATGCCGATTGCAAAAGCCCACCTGAGCAGGAGGCCCTATGCATTTTGAAATGACTTATTTCTTCGGAAATCCCCATTTCAGATGGAGGACTGTCATCAACTTGGAATATCCGCTCAGTCGATGTGGGAGCGGGGTTGGGTGATAGGTTAAATGTTGATGGGCACCCGTTGAATTGAGCCACGAAATGTTCAGGTCGTCGATCAAGATGACACTTCGGATGATGAATCGGATTCCTTAGTTACCTCATTTACGCCTATTTTCCTGGGTCCTGTGTTACCAATAAGACGAAAAAGTTTGAGACTTACCAAAAGCCAAAGCCTTTTGCATCTCTACACTTTCCTACCCAACACTTCTCGCGGTCATCCCTTAGGCTCTTGATGAGCTGGTGTTTGAGGGATTTGCGCTCTGCGTTATGTGACATCAGGAGGAAGGGTTATGCGGACGTGCAGTAGGGCCGCTGAGGTCCACGCAATCCATCGTTTGTGTTTTGAGGCCATTCCAGAGTCTGCCGTTGCTTTTGTCGATGTTTGCATAACTTCTTTGATTTGCTTCCAGTGTTTACTGAGTCATTCGGTTGGTGGTTTAACTGATAGGAGATCAGAAATCACTTTCGAAGACGGATTTGCGACTATCGCAGACTGCACCGTGGATATCCGTTGCCGGTGGCTCCATTGCGGTCGTCTGACAGGCGAAAGGAAAGTTTGGCTTGTAACAAAGCGTGGTCTGTATCTACAGGTGAAGCGGCAGTCTTGAATCGACCCCATCTAGCGATAACTGATGGCGATGTGGTCGATTTGAGTACCTCGCTGTGAAGAGGTTGGTGACTGACATGAGCGATCTGTGGACCGTGGAGAGTTAAAACAGGCGATTTCCGTTGTCCGTCTGGTTGAATGGGATTGCACGCGTACCAAAAAGAAGCCTTTCTGACTCATTAAGGTATCCCAGTTGAGCATTGTGGTCTCCGGTGACTTAAACAACGTCTGTTTATCTAACACTTTGGAGTAGTTAATGAAGATCCTTATAGAATTCGAATTTGAGTTCAGGTGCTCTGCAATCGGTCGGTGCATACACCGACAAAACAAATAAGCATCGACGCTTCCTCCTGTCGCTGTTGAACCGTCGAAACGCACAGCGCAAAATCGGCTGCTGACTGAAATCCAGTAAAGAAGCGAGCACTGAGCCTTGGCACTTAGCGCAATCCCAACATCGGCAACACCTCGAGCCTCAGATATCGGCTCGTCTGACACATGGAGAGTGAAACGTAGGGCTGAGGACGGGTCAGGAGGAACCAAGATGATTGAGGCAGAGTTTTGTATGCATGTTTTGGGGTGATACAGATGGGCGACGGTGGCGCTGTTCGAACTCGG